TATATCATTGTCATGTACATTTAGAAACGACCGAAGTAATCTATTGTGGTACAAATCATATCAGTGGCTACTTGGGGACTGGTTTAGGGTAAGGATTTACTTCTAAGATGTATCAGAGAAAGTTTGGGATTATGGAAAATTTTGATATCTTCATTGTGGTGGTGGTGACAGTTTTACAGTTATATATTTGTCTATGTTCAGAAAAATCTGATCTTAAAGTGCATTTTATTTTATATAAACCATATTCCAATAAAGTTTATTTTCAAATTTCTGGTATTTTCCTAAATGAATAAGCCATACATATGCATTTATAGACATATATATGGTGTATAATGTGTCTATATAATATGTGTTATATATGTATATATTATATATATGTGTTCATATTTAATATTTATTCTTTTGTTAATGCTCCTCTGGAAGGTCTTCCTAAAATGTTTATTTAAAATAGGTACAATTGCCAGGCATGGTGGCTTATGCCTGTAACTGCAGCTACTCAGGAGTCAGAGGCAGGAGGATCTCCAGAGACTAAAAGTTAGATGTTGTGGTGAGTTGCAATTGCATCAGAGCACTCAGCCTGGGCAACAGAGAGAGGCACCTGTTTCAAAATAAATAAATAAGCAACAAATAAAATAGCTATAATTATTGAAAATTGGCTCCACATGTTTATAAAATTCTATATCCTAAAAATACAATAAAACACTCATTTTCCCCTATCTGAGCTTTTATATATTATCAGTCATTTTAATTTTTAACCAGTCAGTAGAAAAAAATTTGTACTGCGATTCAATATCAGTATATTTTATTACTAGATAGAGTAAAAACCTTTGCATATAATTGTTGGCTATTCGCATCTTTTCCTTTTGTAAATTGTATGTATTATAGAGTTTTTTTTAACTTTTATGTTATGCTCGGGGGCACAAATGCAGGTTTGTCACACAGGTAAATTTGTGTCATGGGGGTTTGTAGTACAGATTATTTCATCACCCAGGTATTAAGCCCAGTACCCATTACTTATTTGTCCTGGTCCTCTTTCTTCTCCCACCTTCCACCCTCCAAAAGGTCCCAGTGTGTGTTGTTCCCCTTTTAAAAATAGCTGATACATAATAATTAACTTTTTACAATCCAGGATTTTCTTTTAGTCTTGTGTAACTGACTTTTGCAATCGAGGAAAGAGTTAGTATTTTTATAAAATAAAGTCAATTAACAACTTACGGTAATTGGATATTACATTTTCAGTAGGCAGGTCACTCCTAGAATTTTAGCAATGTTAATATTTATTTTCTTATATTTAGGTATTTTTTACCCCTGAAAATCATGGTTGTTACTGGAAGAAAAAAATATTTTTCCACACACACACGAACATATACATAAACACACACACACACGTATACACACTTTCTCAAAATGCCGGACAGTTCTTACATTATTTACCAAACTGTCCATTTTTTTTCCCCTGGAATTTCTATATTAATTAATTTAATTTTCTGTCCTATGATAGTGACATAGTTTTAAATATCTCATTTCATTTCACTGTTTCAGCTTTTAATTCATTCCTAATATGCATATAGTAAAGGGCACTAATCTTACATATACAGCTTAATGGATTTTTATATATGTATACACCCATATAACCATTAACTAGATCAAAATACAAAACATTTCCTCCACCCAGGAGATTCCGCTGTGCCCTTTCTTATCCAATACCCTCCTGCCCAGAGGTACCGCTAGTCTCACTTTTATTACTGATTAGTTTGTTCTTTTTTTGAACTTCCCATAACTCTAAATAAATAACAACATATGATGTGTATATTTAGTACCAATATGCATGTTGTATCATTTTTGATATATAATGTTTTATTGATTTTAAATCTGGTGTTCCAAACTGCCACAATGAATGCATTGATACCCATTTGCACAATAAGTTAATAATTATGAAATACTATACAAAGTATAGTGGCCTTCATCAGTCTTGATACAAGAGCACTAACTTGTATCAAGAATTGTGTACAGGAATAAACACAAATTTTCAATCCTGCACAATTTCACCAACAATCTTTCAGTTTTACCTTTCTAAAAGTTGATTTAATTTAGCATGACTGCAATAGAAATTAAAATGTTTAACATTTAAGTTTGCTAGTCCATTAAATGGGATAATTTATGCAAATAATGAGCAGAGGCCCAAGCTATATCTTAGTTAAAATGGAATCACTTCCCTCTTATTTTCTTTTTTTACCAGAGGAATGATCACCAACTTCTCTGTCCAGTCACTGATGGGGCAGGTCGGGTTGGAACTGCTATTGGATTGACTTTCTCACTCCAGGAAGGAAGGAATGGACAGCAATAGTGTTTTTACTTCTGTTTGCTTTCAGAAAGCCTGTACTTGGGGGCCGGGGAGATACTTCGCTCGACTCATATTGATCACAAAGTGTGATCCCTACGTTGATCATTGGTAGTTCTGCTACATGCAAGAGTAGCAAATGAATGAATATCTACTATTATTTGTTTATATTTTATTCTCATTGCTTTATCATAATTAATGACTCATAATTCATTAATAATATTTAATAAGTGGATGGAATAAACATGATAAATTATCACAGGGAGCTTCACAGAAATAGGTCAACTCTCATAATTAAGGGTATCACCAGATTGCATTTGGGCCAGAAATGTGGCTTTCAAGATGTTATTCTATCCAAGTCACCACTTTAAAAAACAGTAACAGGAATTCTGCTAGAAGATGATCAGAGTTAGAAGAACTCAAAAGAGTCATTTAGACCTATAAATGAGGTAATCTTTGCTGTGGAAACACAGGATTATCAGGCAAACGAATCAGCTTCATATAGAGGATCCTCATCTACAAGAGTGAGTGAAAAGAGGTCAGAGTACCCAATGCAGGGCTGGAGTTATATCAGTACAGAAGCACATGTTTAAATGTAGACTATTAGGAGAGAGAAAATTGCAATAGAAAATAGCTTGGTGGGTAATAGTGCTACTGGTTTTGCCAATTACCTAGGTCAAATATTGAATTTTTCTAAAATGAAACTTGCATTAGATCGATATAGAGGACAGTATTCTTGAAACTGCACTTGAAAATACTTTTATACAAACATTGTTGGAAAAACATCAGTCATGCCTTGCCTGTTTTGTCACGTCACTAACAGGTAGCAATTTCACTCTATTTCTCCCTTTTTCTCTCTCTCTTTCACACACACACACACACACACAGATACACAAATGATAAAGAGAAATGAATACATGTGATAAGCAATACATATTGTGAAAGTGATTATATTTATTAAAATGCAAATTTATAAGTTTTCCTGCATGGAAATTGTTAATATTATAATGGATATAAACCAACACATAAAAGTAACAAAATATCAAAGGATTTTCCTACTAACCGGTGGGAAATTCCACCAATCCAATGCAAATATGACCTCTGGTAATCAATAATTAGATTTAGTTAAAATTGGACAGACATTAATTAATCCATAGAAAACCCTGTTGATGCAATTAGTGCATCACAAGAAAATGACTCAAAGTGATTGGCAACTGGAATTTCTTTGTAGGAGCCAGTAGGAACCTTCCATAGGAGCTTGGAAAGTTGCAGGCATAACCAGAGTCACCATATTCAGAGCCACAGCTGCAGCCATAGTCCAGGCTACCATAATAGTTGTGGTAGTAGCACATGGTGTCAGAAGTTGGAAGTTCAATTGAGCAGACAGTCGTTTCTGAAATTTGACTCCCCTGATTTGTACAAATTATTTTATCCAACCTGAGTTATATGTGAAGCAAACCACCATCTACATTAGACTGATTCTCACAACTAATTTGCATTAAGATAAAAAAAATCTCAAGAATCTCTTAGCCATATGTCCAAGAAAATATTAATATTGCTATGTGTCAGGATGCTAACAAGTAAAATCATGAGCCTTAAGGAGATATTCTCTTAATTTTGTGGCTTTTGCTTACTTAAAATCCCAATTTAAACTTGATGATTAGCTTCCGCGTGATCACATAAAGCTTATATTTCCTGTCTCTTGAAACATTTCTTTTTTCTTTTCCAATACCCTCCTCTACCTCCATAAATGCAGTCTTCAAACCACAGAGTGGCCAGGCCCAGGCCTCTATAGCCACAGCCACAGCTTACGTTTCCTGCCTCTTGAAACATTTCTTTTTTCTTTTTCAATATCTTCCCCTACCTCCATAAATGCAGTCTTTAAACCACAGAGTGGCCAGGCCCAGGCCTCCATAGCCACAGCCACAGAAGGAGCCATAGCCTTCCATGGCAACCTTAGGGAAAGTTGTCTATGTAGTGAGGAAGCCGACGAAAATGTCTAGATTTACTTGCAAATATGTCTGTATGTTTTGATTAATTTATTTCTTAATCAATAGGACTAAAAATTTTCTTCCAAGTTCATACTTAGTTTATGTTCTTGGAGTAGTAAAGTTTTTCCTCTTCCATCATCCTCACTTTGGTTATATTAGTAGTTGTGGTGTTCTCTTTGCATCTGAGAAGGCAATTACAATTACCCACCGTGTCTCAATATTCATGTTTTCCTCTCCTGACACATTATATTCACATATTTTAACTTCTTTTTATATTGAATGAATTTGCTTATTTTAAAATATATTAATTCCAAATTTCCAAAAGTATTGTAAAGATACTTTTCATCTTCTAGCAGAATTCCTGTTACTATTTTTTAAAGTGGTGACTTGGATAGAATAACATCTTGAAAACTACATTTCTGGCCCAAATGCATTCTAGTGATAGCCTTAATTATGAGAGTTGACTTTCTATGAAGCTCCCTGTGATAATTTATCGTGTTTATTCCATCTACTTATTAAATATTATTAATGAATTACGAGTCATTAATTATGATAAAGCAATGAGAATAAAATATAAACAAATAATAGTACATATTCATTCATTTGCTACTCTTAAATGTAGCAGAACTACCAATGATCAACATAGGGATCATACTTTGTAGATCAATATGAGACTAGCGAGGTATCGTATCAATAAGAGGTAAGTAGAGCATATAATCAGAACTGCGGAACTGCACACAGTAGTTCATAAACTTTAGTGGATATATACCACCACCTTAACAATTAGAAAAGGCATGGATTCTCAAACCAGAAAAAAAATCACTGTGATAAATTCCTCCACTGGTTTGCATATGATCCAAAAGGATCCCAGAGTACATGAATTTATCCCCAGTTACCCCAAGCATAGAACAAAGATGGTGATTATTCAACACAGAATTTGAGTATAGAAAGTTGCATCACGTCATTCATTGGTTATTTTTTCACTAATTCATCAAATCTTTATTAAGAATCTGCTGTGTCAGGCACTGTTATAAGAAATGCAGATTGAGCAGATGAACAAAATAGGCAAAGTCTCCACTTTCTGGAGGTTACAACTGAGACAGAAGGGGTAGAGAGACTGATTTTAAAAATGAATGAAATAGATTCTAACAGTGAAGAATCCCGTGAGGATAATACAACTCACGGAGTTACATTAAATTAGGTTACTGGAGGTAGACTAATTAATATAAGGTGGCCATTAAAAGTATCTCTGGGAAGTTAACATTTCAATTGAAATAGAAACTGAGTCAAATATTCTTGGTATTATTCTAAGAAAGAGAAATCAGTAAGTGCAGAGGCCAGGGCCTTATTGTGAGAAGAAACCTGCTGCATTTTAAAAGTCAAAAAGTCAGTGGAGTATGAGCATTATAGATCAATGGAGGAGAGTAGTACGATAGGAAATCAGAGAGATAAGTAAGGGCCAGAACTTCTCAGCACAATGAAAGGTCTTTAGAGATATTTTTGCAGGGGCACGCTATGTTCTGATTCACTGAGGCATATAAAAGGCCCTCTGCAGGGGAAATGTCAATACTGAAGTCACCTACACTGCTTCCTACCCAAGGACAACCTCAACAACCAACACCATGTGTGGCAACTACTACAGAAATATGATGGCAGCCTTGGCTACGGGTGCTGTGGCTATGGAGGCCTGGGCTGTGGCTATGGAGGCCTGGGCCGTGGCTATGGCTCCTCCTGTGGCTGTGGCTATGGAGGCCTGGGCCATGGCTGTGGCTCCTTCTGTGGCTGTGGCTATGGAGGCCTGGGCCGTGGCTCCTTCTGTGGCTGTGGCTATGGAGGCCTGGGCTGTGGCTATGGCTCCTCCTGTGGCTGTGGAGGCCTGGGCCGTGGCTATGGCTTCTCCTGTGGCTGTGGCTATGGAGGCCTGGGCCATGGCTGTGGCTCCTTCTGTGGCTGTGGCTATGGAGGCCTGGGCCATGGCTCCTTCTGTGGCTGTGGCTATGGAGGCCTGGGCCGTGGGTATGGCTCCTTCTGTGGCTGTGGCTATGGAGGCCTGGGCTGTGGTTCTGGCTCTGGCTCCTTCTGTGGCTGTGGCTCTGGAGGCCTGGGCCATGGCTATGACTCCTTCTGTGGCTGTGGCTATGGAGGCCTGGGCCATGGCTCTGGCTGTGGCTATGGCTCCTTCTGTGTCTGTGGCTATGGAGGCCTGGGCCATGGCTACGGCTCCTTCTGTGGCTGTGGCTATGGAGGCCTGGGCCGTGGCTGTGGCTGTGGCTATAGCTATGACTCCTGCTCCTTCTGTGACTGTGGCTATAGATGTGGCTCTGGCTCTGGCTCCAGCTTTGGCCACTACTATTGAGGACACCATGGGAGACTCTCACCCTCTATCCTGTGACATTGGGATTCGCCAATTCTGAAGCCCACATGCTCTGAGCCTTTCCCTTGATTGATGATATCCTGCCGTGGAAGTCTAATGTGATCTGTTGTTGACCTACCATGCAACCCAAAAATACCCTGAGTTTCCATCATGAAGTGGGATAAGGTGAAGTTCACCTGTCACTTCTCCTTTTATCAGGATGATGGTGTCACAGTGACTCCTTTGATGACTTTCATGCTGCAGTTTGTTTCTCTGCTGACCTAATAAACACATTTAATCCACAAGAGAAAACTTGGTGTTTGTATCTATTATTTATTGTCCAAAATTTCCTTTTCTTTCATTTTTTCTTTTATCATTATTTTTTTCTACTCTTATTTTAGGTTCAAGGGTTATATGTGTATATTTGTTACATGGGTGAATTGCATGCCACTGAGGTAATATGTGAAAGGTAGTTTTTCAATCCTTACCACCCGCCACCATCCCCACTCCAACAGTCCCAGTGTCTATTGCTTTCATGTTTATATACATGTGCATTCAAGTTTTAGCTCCCACTTATAAGTGAAAACCCGTGGTATTTGATTTTCTATTCCTGCGTTGATGTGCTTGGAATAATCCCCTTCAGCTGCACCCATGTTGCTGCAAAGAATATTTCACTCTTTCTTGTGGCTATATAGTATTCCAAGATGCATATGAAACACATTGTCTTTCATCAACTATTGATAGACATCTGAGTTGACTCCATGTCTTTGCTATTGTGAATAGCACAGCAATGAACAGACAAGTGCATGTGTCTTTTTGGTAGAACATTTTTTTTTCCTTTGGGTATATACCCAGTAATGGGATTGCTGGGTCGAATGATAGTTCTCCTTTAAGTTCCTTGAGAAATCTCCAGATGCTTTCCACAGTGACTGGACTAATTTATATTCCCATCAACAGTGTATAAGCATTCTCTTTTCTCCACAACCTCACCAGCATCTTTTAGTTTTTGACTTTTTTAATAATAACGTTTTGACTGGTCACTAATGTTATGCATTTTTTATATATTTGTTGGCTGATTTTATACAGCGTTGTGAGAAGTGCCTGCTCATGCCTTTTGCCCATGTTTTAAGGGGTTGTTTTTTGCTTGCTGACTTGTTTAGGATTCCGATAGATTCTGGATATTAGACTTTTGTTGGATGCAGAGTTTGTAAATAATTCCTCCCATTCTGTAGCTATATGTTTACTCTGTTGACAGTTTTTTTTGCTGTGCAGAAGCGCTTTAGTTTAATTAGGTCCACTTCTGTTTTTGTTGCAATTGCTTTTGAGAACTTAGCCAAAAATTCTTTGCCAAAGCCTATGTCCAGAATCATATTTCCTAGGTTTTCTTCTAGGATTTTTATAGTTTTAGGTCTCACATTTAGATCTTTAACCCATCTTGAGTTAATTTTTGCATATGGGGGAATGTAGGTCTCTAAGTTAAATTTTCTGCTTATGGTTAGTCAGTTATCCCATCACCATTTATTGAATAGGGAGTCCTTTCCCATTGCTTGTCATTATCAACTTTGTCAGAGTTTAGATGGTTGTAGGTGTGTGGCTTTATTTCTGTGTTGTCTATCCTATTACACTGGTCTATGCATCAGTTTTTATACCAGTATCATGCTGTCTTGGTTACTATAGCCTTCCAGCATAGTTTGAAGTTGGGTAATGTGATGCCTCTAGCTTGGTTCTTTTTCCTTAGAAAAGAAAGAAAAGGCTCTCATTTGATTCCACATAAATTTTAGAGTAGATTTTCCTTATTCTGTGAAAAATGATGTTAGTAGTTTTATAGAAGTGACATTGAATCTGTAGATTGCTTTTGGCAGTATGGACATATTAATGATACTGATTCTTCCCATAGAAGAGCATGCAATGTTTTTTTCATTTGTTTGTGTCATTTATGATTTCTTTCAGCAATATTTTGCAGAGATCTTTCACCTTCTTGGTTAAATGTGTTCCAAGATATTTTATTTTGTGCGAGTGGCTATTGTAAATAGGATTGCATCTTTGAACCATCTCTCAGATGGAACATTTTCAGTGTATAGAAACACTACTGATTTTTTGTGCATTGATTTTATATCCTGAAATTTTACTGAAGTCATTTATAAGTTCTAGGTGGCTTTTGGTGGAGTCTTTATGGATTTCTAGACACAGAATCATATCTTTAAAGAAAAGAGATAATTTTACTCATTCTGTTCCTATTTGGATGCCTTTCATTTTTTTCTCTTGCCTAATTGCTCTGGCTAGGACTTCCAGTTCTGACAGTTTTTGGACTGACTTTGCAAGAAAAGTGAATTGTCCCCCTATGGAGATTTTTTTTCTTACTATTTCTAGGTTAGTTTCTTTTCAAGTTCAAAATAAATTGTCTGAGAAAAGTGACACAAGTTTTGTAAACTTCAATTTCCTTCTCTTATTATTCTTTCCGTATTGAGGAATAATATTTGTGATGTGGATAAGTATCACCACTATATGCAATATTAGGTACAATTTAGGTTAAGTATTGTAAGGCACATGGTAAACAATAAAGAAAATAACTTCCACAATTTTTGTATTTATGATAGCTCCAAAATAAATGAATGTTATTGTGATATCCTTCTGTTTTATAATATGAAAATATATTCTAATGAAAAACCACCTCAGGAATATTTTTACAATCTATTATTTCATAAGGTAGTAGTAGGTTGTAAATCTGTTTGTCCTACACGATGGACCATAATAATTGGATAAAAGCAGCATTTTCAGGTATGGACTGAAAGTTTCAGGGTCTCACAATGAAGCAATCAAGGTGTCGGTCAGGTCTGCAGTTTTATTTGAGGTTCACCTGAGGAAGGATCCACTTCCAAGAGCATGTACTTGTTGGTAGAATTCAGTTCCTTGTGGCTGAATAATTGCAGGTCTCAGCCCTGACCGTTGGCTGAGAGTGTTTGCATGCTGTCTGCTGGAGAGCCCAAGAGGCTTCCTTAGTTCCCTACAATGTGGGTTGCTAAATATGGTCATTCATTTTCTCAAATCAAAGAATAGAGGAAGAGAGAGATTCTAACAAGATGGGTGCTGCAATCTTTTGTGGCAATCACATACAATCATATATACATATATGTATATATACATGCATATTCAATCACCTTTACTATATGCTATTTGGTTGAACCAAGTCACAGGCATTGATAGATCAAAGTAGATCACAGTAGCCCTTGGATCTGCTCATGAAAACACATATGAAAAAGGCACTGGTTAAATATAGTTAATAGTTAGGACTGATACATGTACATTGACAATTATAGAAGCCAAAGTATCAATAATCTCACACACATAAATATACATACATACATACACACTCATAAAAATTGAAATAAATAAAAATGCTGTAGGTTTGCAAAAAAGATTATCTTTAATAAAAAATAGATTTAAATATTTTCCTTAAAAATGGCTAAAATTATTTATATTTAATGATAGAGTAGCACAACATGAAAGAAATATTTTTCTAAAGTTTTCGTAAACTCCCAGTAATTTAGATCAAAAAAATTCTGATATTGCTAAGATGCAATTTGCATTGTTTGAACAAACAATAACATTGTTATTATAAATAATGCAGAAGTAAACACAGCGCCTCATAAGAGAATGATCTAAAGAGATCACCAATCTTGAATTTCTCAGAAGCAGCTGAAAGACCAGGACCTTCCCCAGTGGCATGGGCGGTAGCAGGCATATCCATAGTCACCATAGCCACAGCCATGGCCACAGTCCAGGCCTTCATAGCTATAGCCCGGGCTACCATAGTACTTGCTGTAAAAGCCCACGGTGTCAATAAAGATAGGCTCAGTCGTATAGCAGGGTCACATGCTAGAGCTGTAGGTTTCTAATCTGCACAGGGCCTTAAATAGCACCGGAGTGGTATGTGGGGCAAACCACATGCACTGTTGGACTCATGTTTCAAACTAATTGGCATTAAAATCATCACAAAAATTTAAACCATCTCAAATATTCCTCCCAACCAATATATCCAAGACAACATTACTATGTCAGGATACCGGTAACAAAATCTTGTGCCGTTAATGAGAGATTCTTCTCCTACATTGGTGGCTGGGTGCCAAATTTAATATTGCTAGCGACCGTGAGATCATATAACCTATATGGATATCACCTTTTCAAAATCTTTTTTCCTTTTTTTTGCCTAAAATATATTCTTGTGTATCTGCATATATGCAGCCTTTGGAACAAAAGGATGACTTCAAAGAGGGTAGAGAAGGATAAAAATATTGTGGCGAAAAGGGCATGGTGGCAGAGTTAGTTTGTAAATTACTGAATGATAAGATGCCTTATTAATGTTTTGTGGAGTAATATTTACTTTGAGTAAAATGTTACATAAATATGTGCCTATCATTTTGTATATGTTCCAAAGCAATAATTAGAGTCACTGAAGTTTAAACCTACAGACCATGGTTATATAAAAAGGGAAAGACTTATTCTGTTAGAAATTTGAGTTTAAAAATCAACTTCAGAAACATTCAAAGACTTACTGATCTTGTGTATCTCCTGGTATAACAAGAAAGAAAGAAAAGAAAGAAAAGAAAGAGAGAAAGAGAGAAAGAGAGAGAGAGAGAGAAAGAGAAAGAAAGAAAGAAAGAAAGAAAGAAAGAAAGAAAGAAAGAAAGAAAGAGAAAGAAAGAAAGAAAGAAAGAGAAAGAGAGAAAGAGAGAGAGAGAGGAAGGAAGGAAGAAAAGAGAGAGAGAGAGAGAGGGAGGGAGGGAGGTGGGGAGGGAAGGAGGGAAGGAAGGAAAGAAGGAAGGAAGAAAGGAAGGAAGGAAGGAAGGAAGGAAGGGAGGAAGGGAGGAAGGGAGGGAGGGAGGAAGGGAGGGAAGGAAGGAAGGAAAAATTTGAGATTAATTCAGGTAATGAATTTTTCCAAAGTCTCCAGATAGACTATAAGAGGAGCAAGTGCCTAGCTGGAATCTCTCACATTTGACAGC